GGTCCGGGCAGCCCGTGATTCGACCAACACGGTTCACGGGTCGAACCACTGGCCGGTACGGGAACGGGAGGGCCTGGGTGGCCCGCCCATCTTGACAACTTTAAAGTTGTAGTTCTACTTTTGACTTTTGGTCAACTAAGGAATCTTTAGACAAAAACTGTGAAGTGACCCTTCTGACGCGCATAAATGAAGAATTTGGGATTCATGCTCCCAACAACTGATAAAATTTGCAACAACTTAAATGCACACGGTTAATGATTTTGAGAATTGTTTTGTTTCTGTTTAATTCTAATCATCTATGAAAAAAGGAAATTAAGATAAGTGAATTAGAGATTGCACTAAGTAAATTAAAGATTGATATTCCTTAAATACTAATTTTCTCTCTTGATATAAATTAATCATCTACCATCCGACTATATCTCCATGAAGAATACAAATAAAATAAAAATACAATATAATAGAATATTATTTAAGATTGCACTAAGCATTATATCCTATATGACCTAGTGTTATTTGTTCTTCGAGCTATACATATGATTAGTCTCTCGATATAATCACAAATCTTAAAAAATGATCCTAGAATTAACCAAATAATAGGATATAAAACAAAACAATCACAAAGTTTAATTAAAAATGAGCAATTTACTGGATTAAAGAATTAGCAAGGATCAAAACCTCAACAACAAAAAGTTTAGCCGATCATATTTTGATATAAAAATACATAACTCGGATAATCTAAAATAAAAGATGAGTACGATACTTGAATCTCTTTAATGATTTGGACGACACCCTCTTCCTTTTCAAAATTATTCAAAGCCTCAAGAAGTTCTCGTAATTTTGATACCAATAATTTGATGTAATATGATGTGGAATTAACCTCTATGATTTTTTTTTATTGAACCATGCTACAGTGTAAGAAAGAGTTTCACAAAAAAAGTTGACAAGTGGCACATGTCATTCTATCATTGAATTGTTTAAAATATAATCAGTTTTTCCATCTAATCATTCTGCCACTACTGCATCTATCAATTTTTTTCTGATTAAGTGACATAATCCTTTTTTTATGAACCATGCTATGTGTACACATAGCATTATTCTTTTTTTATTTTGAAATATGAAATCCCCTTATCTGGCCTAATTTTTCTCTATATACCCTTTATCTTTTTGGAAAGTCATGCCAATGATATACTCAGGGATTAAAATTTTGGAATCCAATCAGCTCAGAAGCAGACTGCGACTGTAACACGCATTGTCACGGTCAATTGGTCCAAAAAGTGCGAAATTGCCCCGAAATTGCTAAGCTGCAACCGTAGTCCCAAACTTCCCCGAATTGTGCAGTTTCATCCCCAATAGTCTGGAATTGGCAGTTTTGGTCCCTAAACTTCAAACCTGCATTACCTTTAATCCACAATTCTGAATTGTGTTGCAATGAACTCCAAATTCAATTATCTTTCTAATGGTATACCATTTTTTTTCCTATGGAGATCATTGTAACAAAATTTATGCACTAATTTCTTCATGTACTAACTACGTAGATTCTTCGTTTTCCTTCTGTGCCATTTCGATATTTGATCAGTCATTGTTACTTCCAACATCTTGGTTCATTAGGATTTCCTCTCAAACTCCTTTGCCACCTTTCTTCATGTTCAAGTGTCGATACTCCAATATTTCATCTTTTTTTGTCATTTTAATGCCCAAATCTCATCCTTTTGCTTAATTAATTCAACTCCAAGTTAGGGTTTTCAACTAAAAACAATGACACACTAAGTATGAGTAGAAATCCATCCAAACAATTAAGTATTAAGTAGATTTAAGAGTCTAAATGAGCATGTAAAAAATACTTATCAAGTTCCTCAAACTATTTAAATTTGTGATTCTAGATTTTCTAGGTACCAAAAATCATCGATGTGAACATTAAAAATCGCACAATACTTTCACGTGACTTTGAGTTGAATGTTAAGTGGTTTGCCTATTTTACTTTTCAACATTAAGTGTTGTGAAAATTGTGTGTGATCTTAATATTCGTAGTGAGTTGTCATCACATGATGAACCATATTCATACATTTAATAAGTTTTAAGTTTTGGAGGAATAATTTTAATATTTGGTGAAGTAACATTAAACATATTCTCGTATAGCAGGGACATTAAAAAGGCTTTGGAAGGTAAGAAACTAGAAGGGATGAAATATGAAAATTGGGAAGAATTGGCAGACATTGAGTACCCTCACATTGTCTCTTTCTTTTGAGGTAAAGTATAGTATTTTGAACCAGAAATCTCCATCTAAATTGTGAAAACGTTAAGATCGATGAGGATACAATGATGCTACCAAAATTCGTACCTGGATTAATTTGAACAGGATGGTTGAACTCCACACGCTGTGTTCTTCAATACCTAAAACAAAGGCGTCGAAGTGTGTCCTTGTCGCCCCTCCGATGCTTAAGTCAGAAAGAGGAATACCAAAATGTATGCTTGACTATTATTGAAAGAAAAAACGTACCTGAAGAATGAGGAGGGGGTTCCTATTTAAAGGGCTGATGGCTGAGTCCTAGACGTACTAGTATTCCCTTACAAGAGGTGTTTGTGTTGTGCTGGGATTGTATTATTTTGAGATAAAGTAAGTTTTATGGTAAGCTGGGGTTTTAATGGTTAAGTTAAACTAATATTCCATGGTCACGTGCGGTTGGAGGGAAGCACGTGAGGCAGGGGCCGCGAGGTCGATGTACTCGCCTGAGACACCCTCAACCTCGACCTGGAGCCCAACAAGCCAAATAATGAGCTCGGGTTCGGGTTATCACCTCAAAGGATATGACCTGGCACTGACCTCGACCTCAACATCCCACATAATTGGGATGAATGGGATAAATCGATCTCGAGGTCGGGTAAGGGGTTATCACTGATGTTAGGAACCATCTCAATAGATTTAATAAGTATGTGTCAGTGTTGCTAAATGTTGACGTTAAAATTGAGGACGAAGATAAGAAGATTTTTTTGTTAGCTTCATTGCCCAAGTCATAGAAACAATGGCGATCACGTTATAAGTTGAAAAATCTACTTTGATAGTGAAGAAGGTTTCTAGTGCTTTGTTAGAGTCAGCTAACATAAAAGTCAACTGGTGTTGCGAAGGTGATTGAGTTCTTTTGGTAACTTTTGAGAGTAGACATGGTAGAAGAGGATCATGAGGAAAGAATTATGATAAGAGGGATGATCGTTCACATGATACACACCTAACAACCACCCATGAAAGTATATAACAAACGAAAATTTAAACGGAAAAGGAAAAAAATGTTTGATAAGTAAGACTTTTACTTTATTCTCGTTAACTTTATTCTCACTATGTAACAAGTGATGCATATCGTACTCTTAATAAAGTGAGACTAAGAGTCTTGCTTAAGCAATAGCCAATCTCATTGCATTGGTATACGTTAGGCTTATGTAATATACATTGCATTATTGTCCACATCACTAATACGATGTAGCAAATTTTTAACCAATGGTTGGCTTTTCAAGGTCTCCTGCTCGACAAGCGGCACAAATTATGTTGGGGTATAACAGTCATTATGGAAATAAATATCATATTTCAAATTGATATCACAAGTAATGTGCACCATTCAACTTTAAATACTTTGCATAGTGTTTTGCTCATTTTTAACTCGTGTTTCTTGCACCTTCGTACTGTATCTAGGACCCTACCAATTTCCATAATTTTACCTGCACTATGCTCTTCAAATTCTCATCTTCCTTTTCCCATTCTTTACTCCAAGGCAATCTAAACGTGCTTAAATCCCCATTAAACAAAAAAATATCACCATAAATTCACAGTTTGATCAAATTCATAGTGGAAGAAATTTGATAAAACATGTCGAATTCGCAAGATTTTTCCGATAGGAAAAGGGCCCGTAGGGCACTGGAGAAATCGAACTTTGTTCACACTTGCAATCTATTGAGTCAATTTATCAAGGAGAAAGGTAGTTTAAGAGATTTGAATTTTGAAATCGGTGATAGAGTGGAAAGCCTTGAATCCATAGGTAAAATTTCTTCTTTTTTTCTTTGTGTTATTTAAAGAGATTGAGATGAAATTAAGAAAATAATTGTATGATTTGGTTGTTTTCAGTGAAAGCAGACAAATCTCAAGTTGCGGCGTCTACAAGAACGAAATCCTTGACCAATATGGAAAAACCAGTTCAAGGATCGACTGAACAAGATACGTCAATGGATCCTATTCCCTGGCGAGGCATGCTGGGGTCATCGAGTAATTTACAAGATGCCTCAAATAAAGCTGTTCCAAGGTTTTTTGCTTTTCATTTTTTATTCTTGGAGTGCATATTTGACTAACTCTAGTAATCAATCGAATGAAAAGTTGCAAAAACGAGCTTCTGTAGTCGATTCCAAATTTATAAAGAAAAAAGAACAAACTTTTAGAGCACTGTTTGGAAGGGCTATGTAATGAATGAAATTTTTCATGAATTGAGCAGAGAGGCAGCAACAATGGAGTCCAAGAATGCCCAGTTGACCATATTTTATGCTGGTAGAGTTTTGGTATTCGATGATTTTCCACCTGAAAAAGTTACTGAACTAGCGGAATTTGCAAGCAAGGAAAGTTCTGAGGAACCAGAAGACATATTGTCGAACCATGTTAAAGAAAAAGTAAACCAGGGGACTGTAACTGCACGAGAACGGCTTCCTCCAAGATCTGAGGCCTCGGCTTCTCGTAAGGCTAAACGCGTTTTGCCTGATTCCGGCAAAGAGGCGCAAGAACGGCTTCCTCCCCGACCTGAAGCTAGTGGTTCTCTTAAGGCTAAAGGCATTTTACTGAATTCAGAGATAGAGAAAATGAACACTGGTGGTGCTGTGGCCTCCTGCTCTAGGCCAAAAGAAGTGCTTTCGCCACAACTTGAAGCCAGTGGTTCTGGTAATAGCTTTTGTTAAAATATTTTTTACTTATTTTCCAAGAAAAATTTTCAATTATGATTATTTATGGAGTTTTGGTGTTTCAGATTTGCCAATTGCAAGAAGATCATCACTTCATAGGTTCCTTGAGAAGAGAAAAGATAGGTAAGCAACTTCACATAATGCATTTCTATTGGAAAAAATTCTTTTAAGATAATTTTACTTCAAGGCTATGATATAATATGTAACAATACGTTTCCCAAGCTTAAGCACCTTTTGAGGGTGGTCTTGGGTTCAACTTGTTGGGATAAAAATGAAAACAACATAAGGTCCCAACGATTGAATCCTGCAAGGACCATGTGGAGCTTGTTGGCTGAATCTGGTGGCCGTGGTCGGGGACGTGTCGTTACATAATATTTGAGCTATAACTTGACACTTTATGCTTCCTTTTTGTTGATTCAGGACTGTAAAGGAGCTAAACCAAATTCAAGAACTGCAGCCTGCATATTCTCCCAAGCCTGATGAGCATCTTGAGCTCAAATTATAGATACATTGTGCTACTAGGATTAATCTGTCTTACACTTCCACTATTCTGAATGACTTTTGTTTACAATTTATTAATACTCATTGTTGGGTTATTATCGATAGAACTTGGTAGTTTTATTTTGTCAGATTTTGGTGTCCGAGTATGTAACTTAACCAAAATTGTTGGGTCCATATGAACAATATTTTTTTAATGCGCCCCAAGATAATAGAGCCATCATTGTGGGGAGGGTAAAGCGCATCCAACGCAAAGCGGCCTTTCATTCCCTTGTTTCGTCGTGGCA